CAGCCGATCAATGATTCTCTCTCATCATTGATGTTTCTCTCTCTCTCTCTCCCTTCCTCTCTGAAATCAACAAAAATAAAAAATAACTTAAAAAGGGGTCTGCAGGAGAAGCAGCTGAGCCCTGGAGGAGTCAGGCCGGCCTTCCAGGACAGGCTCGACCTGAGGCTGGGGGGGCCTGTGCATGAGCCAGGCACACAGGCGGAGGGAGCACTGGGGCAGAGAGAAGCCCGTGTGCAAGGCCATGGCGGCCTGGTGGCGGGGACACAGGTGGCGGGGGTGTTGGCTGCTGTCCGTGGCTGGAGGAAGCTGGCCTGTGGGGGCTGGAGCAGAGCCTCACGGGCCTTGCCAGATGCCAGACGGGGGCGGCGGGGGGGGGGGCACCGAGTGCTGGGCATGGGAAGGTGTAGAATGAAGTGGACAGGACCAGGACGTCGCTGGGCGTGCACTACCCCGAAAGATGCTGCCGAAAACGTGGCCCAGGAGCCCGAGTTCCCACGGGGCTGGGACGAGCCCTAACCGGACTCTGGTGAGGGTCAGCAGTGGTTTGGCCGGGACGGAGACGCTCCCGGGCCTAAGGACCAGGAACCATTGTCACCAGGGAGGGCGGCCCCGGCCCAAGGCCACCACCTCGGTGGCTGGGCTCTGCCGAGAGCCAGTGGGCAGGGCCCGCTGGTTTCTTTGTTTTTGGTTAATCCTTACCTGAAGGTATCGTTCAGTCCGTGTGTAGAGACAGTGGGAGGGAGGGGAAGAGACGGGGAAACATCGATGTGTGAGAGACACATCGCTTGGTTGCTCCCCTGTGCGCCCCAACTGGGGCTGGGGATCGAGCCTGCAACCGAGGTACGTGCCCTTGACCGGAATCGAATCCGGGACCCTCCAGTCTGCCCATTGAGCCAAACCGGCTCGGGCCCCTTGGGTTTCCTGAGAGTTGAGGACCCCAGATGGCTAAGATGAAGGGACCCTAGCAGCCACCGAGGGCTGCTTCGAATTCACATTAGAGGCCTTGGGGCCCAGCACGGTGACTGCCCAAGCTCCCCCGCCCCCCGACACACAACCTCCCCAGACCAGGAGCCAGGCCAGGTCGGCTGCCTCTGGGAGCGAGGGTCTGGTCAGGGAGCACACCCAGGGTGGAGCATGAGTCTAGCTAAGCACTCGGTGAGTGTTCACCGGCTGGAGGCTTGTGAGAATTATGTGAAAATATATGTGAATGTGCTTTTTTGTTTTGTGTTGATATTCCTGACCCGAGGATATTTTTTCCCAGTGATTTTTTAGAGAGAGTGGAAGGGAGGGAGAGAGAAAGAGAGAGAGAAACATCAATATGAGACTCACCGATTGGTTGACTCCTGCAGGTGCCCTGGCTGGGGTCAGGGATCGAACCTGCAACCCAGGTAAGTGCCCTTGACCGGGAATCGAACCCACGACCCTTTGGTGCAGGGGCTGATACTCTAACCATTGAGATACACAGACCAGAGTGTGAATGTGCTTTATCAAGTGACAAAACACTATGTGAGTGTCATTTATTGTCACTTTCCTCCAATCCCGCCTCCTTCAGCGTCTGTGGGTCCCCGAGTTTCTCTCTTTGGAAACACGTTCCTGAAGGCCAGGTCTTGGGCGGGAGGCAGAGGCCCTAGGACTGTGGTCTGAGTCAGAGCCTCCTTTTGAAAGTCCTTTGTCATTTCAGCAACTTGTAAAGCAGCTCTCTGAGCGAGGTGCCCCTGGGCCCACAGCTTCTGCTTGCCTGGGAGGCCTGTAAGCTCCCTCTGGTGGTGAGAGGACCTAACCGGATTGGCAAAATTTGGTTGAAATCAGTTGAGGCTGAGAGATGAGGTACCCTACGGACACGGAGCCGCGGGGGAGCCGCGGGGGAGCCGCGGGGGAATTCTGCGCTCGCATGGAAGCAACACTCAGCGTCCGCTTCTCCGGCGCTTTGGGAACTTAGGTGCGAAAACAAAATGCCCCCCACCCGCCCCCGCCAAGTTGCTGGTACCAAACGCTCCGGGGCAGGGCCGCCTCACTCATCCTTCCAGTCCCTTCTCAGGTGCTGTTTGGGCTCCCGCTGTGTGTGGCGAAGGGGGTGGGGGGCAGCTCTAGATGCTGGAGAGGAACCC